TTACACCCCCCTGTACACACTACACTTATATACATAAACATGCACATACACTGGCAGTGGCACCTTACTGCAATGAGTTACACGTTTCCAAAAAGGTTGTCAAAGCTGGCATTATCATTCCAAACTATGCCTTTACGTGATGATTTTTAACATACCTGTTTTAAAGTACAAGGCTGGTTTTATTCTGTATATTTCTTACTTTCTTTTAACAAACGTGTCAGGCGGTCTCTTAATACTTTCCCTTTTCCCTACGCTGTAGGGGTGAGAATCTTTGGAAATCTCACAATTCGTTTTGATTCCAATTCCTGATCAAAATTTGATTTAAAACCAATCCATATGCAGAAAAGGGGGCACTATTTTCTTACTCTTGTGTACTGTGTGCCAAACCTTCTTCTTCATCTAACATTGTGGTGAAGGTTTGTTTGACCCAACAGGAAAAGAAAACTAAATAAAAGAGTGCGTAGGAGTACACAGCTTTAGAAAAGTCTCCTGCCAGCGTGAGAATAATGAAATGAAAGTGTAATTTACTGACCACAAACACTGGCTTAATGTCTTAGTTACTTCTAGTAGGAAGGAAAAGTGCTCTACTGTGCTGTTACTATTATATATTATATTATTAACATCTCCAGCAGTAACACTAATGTAGTAACAGGGAAACCCATCTTTATCCACAGTGCTGTACTGGTGCAGATCTTTTAAAATCAAAAGGATTGATTTTCATCACCTGACTAGAGTTGGTTGAGTTTTGTAAAGTGAGCTCCAAGCCCCATTAGTTCCTGCCAAAGACATAAATCTTTAATCTCTAAGTCACACACATAAAGTTTAAAAAATGCTTAGTAATTTCCTAAACAGCTGTGCACCATTAGTTCTAATGTTACTAAATAGTGCATTTGTTGGGGACGACTTTTAGCTGAGGTTAAATACATGTGAGTATTTCTGACACTTAAGTTGTGGGATCTAGTCAAAACAAACTACAGCGTGTGTTCATGGTAATGAAGCAAGAGAAGTTTTTGCACAACAACTCTATGGAACAGTGGAACAAGATATATCAGACTTTTGCCACAAAGACAATACTTGTTAGTAGGATCAATTAATAGACCTTTTTCATGGCAGCCATTTTGACATGAAATAATAGGGTAAACACAGGCTTCTGTTTCATTTAGTGTAGCAGAGCCTTTCCACTGAGCCAACATGCACAATGGCAGCACCCTGACTCTGGCTCGGACTTTCCTTCAGAGGCATTGGGAGGGTTCCTGATCGCCTGGCCAGCTGACTGCTCTGTAGTCACTTAAACCACAAAATGAAATGTGTGATTGAAAATGAAAACAACATGGAACAGATACATTCACTCAGGACTGTAGACCATCAGCCCTTTTGCTTGCTTTTAACCAAATGGAATCTCTGCCTGTCATCACACACAACTGGCCTGACACACGTGCCTCATCCACACAACATTCAACCAGTCTCATGAAAAAACGGACAATGGTGGTGAAAGAGAGACGCATGAAGAAGAGAAAAGCCTCAGAGGAAATGCAGCTAAACATTCATTAGCAAAAATATAAGGTTAGTGTTAAAAGAAACACTAAATCATAATATACAAAATATATAAATGTCTAATTTTTGCTTTATGAACAAATGGGAAATGGACTGCACTTATTCAGCACTTTTCTTCCTTAACGGACAGAGCACTTTAAAATTTGCCTCTTATCAACGCAGGCATAAGAGCACTATCAGCAAAACAG